GTCCCCTCACCGAGCCCTGGGTGATGGCGTGAGACAGGGCCTGCCGGGAGTGGCAGGGTGCCGGTGGGGAAGGGGCATCGTTCTGCTTCTCCTTCTCCGCGCAGCCCCCCAGACTGCTGGACGCCGTACCTGCACCAGCCTTCACCAGGCAGAACAGGCAGCCCCCACCTAGACGGTCATTCCTGATGTCTGTCTTCGTGCCACCATGGCTTCAGCAGCCGGGGAGGGGAGGGGAGGCCCAGCTTCGCAGGGCCCAGCCAGGGCCCAGACTGAGTGCTCAGCTCAGCGAGTCCCTGACAGAGGGAGCCAGTGGAGAAGCTTGGGGACACCTTGCCATCCGTGGTGTCCCCCAGCTAGGCCACCGAGGGCCACCTTTGCATGGCCTCTGTGCCGGGGCCACAAGCCCTGCCAGGGTGTGTCCAGTCAGTTCCCACGTCAGTTGGTTTTGTAGAAACAAAGCGACGCGGCTGCCCCTTGATTTGACTGGTGGCTGCAGCCCACAGGCCAACTGTCTCAGCAGCCTGTGGTCCGGTCTCGTCCTCAGAGGAAGCGGAGGGCAGAGGACCAGCCGTGGCCGAGCGCAGAGGTCCCGAGTCACGGCTCGCATGCACCCCACGTCTTCCTCGCCGCCGCGCAGCCTCCCTGTCTCGGGTTGCCTCCTGGGGAAAGGAAACTTCTCAGTGAAGTGGAGAAGTAACGGGGAATGTGGCTGGTGGGGCCTCGGCGGAGTCCCTGCCTCAGTGAGGCTCTGGGCTGAGGTCACTCTGCCCTGCACGCCCGCTGGGCAGCAGACAGACCTGGGTAAGAGGTCGGCTTTGCGATGCCTGTTTGAATACGTCCCTCGCCAGTCCCCAGCCCCGGGGTGGAGGACGTGGAGACGCCAGACCTAGCGAGCCACAGCTTCGGGCCGGACCTGGGCTGCGATCACCGTGGCTGGGGTCCCCACACCCCTCTCCCCAGGCGGCCTCGGGCGGCCTCTTTCTTCCCTCGAGCTTCCTCAGTGGGGCGGGAGCCGCGTGCGCCGCGTCGAGGGTTAGACGAGTGACAGGAGAAGCCCACGCTTTGCCGACCACGCTCAGTCAGGTCAGTTCTCGTCCCATCCTCCGCCACACCTGCGTCACCTGCCCGCCAGGCTTTCCCAGCTGCAGGCTTGCGCTAGGGAAGTCACAAAGTAGCTTACTCGAGGGAATAACTAGGGCTTGGTCCTGACGGCGCCGGCGTCTCACTGAGGCCTGAGCAATCAATCATTCGAGCAGTTATCGATCGCCAATCTATAAACCTTGAAACAGGGGCTGGGGACGCTATCTGGGGAGACTCTACCATTGTGGCAACTCCTCTGTCAGCCTAAAACCAGCTCAAATGAAAAGTTTATAAAATATGT